CTTACAGGAGCAATTAGGGTTAAGTGCCTTGCTCAAGGGCACATCGACAGATTTTTCACCTAGTTGGCTCAGGGATTAGAACCAGTGACCTTTCGGTTACTGGCACAACGCTCTTAACCACTAAGCTACCTGCCGCCCACAGACATGTATAGCCTAAGGATTGCATGGTGAAAGTGATTGTCTGTAAACTGGGAACTCTGGGGGAAAAACGAGGTCAAATCATGACATCAGTGATTTTCAGGTCAGAGAAAGATGCCAGAGTTTCTGAATTGGAATTCCGAGTTGGATGACCGTTCAAAAAATCAAAAAAATCCCAGTCTGAGCTCGTTTTTTTCAGAGTTCCCAGTTGTCTTGAACACACTGAAGTCGGAATTCAGAGATTGCTGAGTTGAGTTGTTTTGAATGCGCCACTAAAGACCTAGGCTACCTCTTATTTCTGAATAGGGCTACCTCCAACAAAGAAGCCCTTGTGTCTGTATTGATGTGAGAAATAGGCATATCTACACAGTAATGGTGGCTGGCTGCGATATCAACTAGCCTAATCATTTTTGTATTGAGGTGATATGCCTATTTTAGCTAAATCGACAAATGAAATTGATTAGATTACTCTGGCAAAATTTTTTTTTTTTACAAAATCATGTACATGTAGACGTTTGTAAGGTGTTCATGGTGAGATCTTTAATAATAAACTAAACAGACACTTAAACTAACACATGACACATAACACGTGTAGACGTTTTTTGGCGTTCATGGTAAGCTCTTTCATAATAAACTTACAAGCAAACTGACACGTGACACGACGTGAACACTACGTCTACATGACGTGTACGTGTCACGTGATATGAACGTGACGTGAAGACGTCGGCAGTTTGACGCCTTACAGAAAAAAAACGTGTCTCTATTGACAGTCCATGTTTGATGTTAATTCATGGCGGTATTTTATGGCGCTAGGAAGAAGTTAGGTGACTTGGTGAGAGGTATCAGTAGCATCACAAGGCTTAATTCTGGCACAAATAACCCCCATACACACACACACACACACTCCTCCCGTCGTCCTCCCCACCACTCAGCAGCAGGCCACTGTGAAATGTTAATTTTTTATGAGAAGCTTTTGGTCATGTAGAAAGTGTTTGCAGAAGGGAGAAGCAGAAATGTACAAGATGTGGGAAATATCATATTAAGTGTTATAAAAGTGAAGAAAATGTGACATGTTGTAATTGCGGTGGGAATCATGAAGCCACGTCTTCTGAATGCCCCACAAGGGTAAAGGAGAATGAGGTGGTCAAAGTCAGGGTCGTACAGAACATTGCAGAATCTGTGAAAAGGGTTGAAGGTTTGAATGTTGCACCAGAAGAGTCCATGGTAGTGAATATGCCTTCACTGCATGCTTACATCAAGAGGATCCTGACATTTTAAAGGTTAAAAAGGTGGACTTTGTGCCCTTTATCACAATGGTGATAAATGGCACTGCCAAGGTGGAGAAAAGATCTAGGAAGATGTAAATCATTGTGATTGCACCAGAGCGGTTCCTGGGGCTGAAAGATTTCACAGCAAAGGAGTTACATGGAATATTAGCAAAAGTCATACTACCTGCCAGGTCCCTAGGCAGGGGTGTCAAACTAGGGCCACATGGAGGAAACCCAAGGGGGGAAAAAAAATCATGGTATATATAACTTAAAAACAACAACTTCAGATTGTTTTCTTTGTTTTAATACGATCAACATACAACATAAAGCTGGAGCCTGAGGACAGTGTCCAAAAGCACAACATCACTATTAATCATAAAACACCTCAAGTTATTTGAAAGTTCTGAGGACAAAGAACACACAAACACACAATGCCTCAGTGATTCACAGAAGTATATCACAGATCACAGAACTATATCAGGGTGTCATTTCTCAGGCAGAAATGTAGATAAAAATAATGAAATCCTGTTCCCCAAACAAGTGCAAGAACCACAGAGTCAAGAATAGGTTAAATATACAAATAAAATAAAAACAATTAAAAACAATAGCACATCAACATAAAAACATATAAACATAAAGCTGGAGCCTGAGGACAGTGTCCAAAAGCACAACATCACTATTAATCATAAAACACCTCAAGTTATTTGAAAGTTCTGAGGACAAAGAACACACAAACACACAATGCCTCAGTGATTCACAGAAGTATATCACAGAACTATATCAGGGTGTCATTTCTCAGGCAGAAATGTAGATAAAAATAATGAAATCCTGTTCCCCAAACAAGTGCAAGAACCACAGAGTCAAGAATAGGTTAAATATACAAATAAAATAAAATCCATTAAAAACAATAGCACATCAACATAAAAACATATAAACATAAATCTGAAAGCGTTGCTCAAACTCCCGTAACAGTCCCGTTATTTTATCTTTGAACCGCTTCATGTCTGCCACATGTTGGGTCGCGCACACATTTTTCAGACAGGGGAAGTGAGCTGCATCACCACCGGCAAGTTGCGTCTCCCACAATGACAGCTTCAACTTGAAAGAACGTATGCTGTCATAATACTGCGTGACAACTTTGTTGCGCCCTTGCAGCTGTTTGTTCAAGTTATTCAGGTGCTCTGTAACATCCACCATAAATGCAAGGTCCTGCATCCATTCTGCGGAATGAAATTCTAACACTGGTTTGCCCTTTTCTTCCATGAACTGTTCAATTTCTTCTCGTAAATCAAAGAAACGCCTCAGCACAGCACCTCGGCTTAACCATCTTACCTCAGTGTGGTATGGCAGGCCATAGATGTGGTCTTTCTCTCTGAGAAGGCTGTCAAACTGACGGTGATTCAGGCTTCTGGATCGGATGAAATTAACAGTTTGGATGACCACCTTCATGACGTTATCCATCTTTAATGACTTGCAACACAAAGCCTCCTGGTGCAAAATACAGTGAAAAGTCAAAAAATCACGTCCTCCATTTGCAGATTGCACTTTCTCTCTGAACTTTGTCACAATGCCTGCTTTTTTCCCGATCATTGAGGGCGCACCATCTGTAGCCAGGCTGACAGCGCGGGACCAGTCCACTCCGACCCTGTCCAGCGCGCCGACGAGTGCGGTAAAAATATCAGCTGCTGTCGTTGTATCTGTCATCGGCACCAACTCCACGAACTCCTCGGTGACGGTCAATGTGTCATCAACTCCGCGGATGAAAATGGCCAGTTGTGCAACATCTGTAATGTCCGTGCTTTCATCAATTGCAACCGAAAACGCAATAAATGACTTTAGTTTTTGCTTCAACTGGCTGTCCAAATCCACTGAAAGATCGGAAATCCTGTCTGCAACTGTGTTTCTTGTCAGGCTGATATTTGCAAAAGCCTGCCGCTTTTCAGGGCACACAATCTCCGCTGCCTTCATCATGCATGTTTTTACAAATTCACCCTCACTAAATGGTTTTGAAGCCACTGCGATTTCATTAGCAATGAGGTAGCTAGCTTTCACTGCAGCGTCACTGATGTCTCGGCTGTGAGTAAACACAGACTGCTGTTTCTTCAGACCCGCAAACAGTTCATTCACCTTCTCTCATCTCCACTGTCCTTGAAAGTTGTCATATTTGTCGGCATGAAGACTCACATAGTGGCGACGAAGGTTATATTATTTCAGCACTGCAACATGCTCTGAACACACCAAACATACAGCTTTCCCATTCAATTCCGTTTATAAATAGGATGACCATTTTTCTTGGAACACTCTGCACTCTGCGTCCACTTTTCTCTTTTTTGACAGAGACATATTGGGGCAATGAGGGTGCCAAAGCACATAATGTTAAAAGTAGAAGCCGTAATAAATATCGCGGGCAAAACAAAGTAGCTCATTGGCTGCACGTGCTTGACCTACTTGCTCTGCCCCGGTATAAACAGTTTGCTTGCTTAACACAATTGCTATTGCGCCATCCAGTGGACGCAATTGGAACAGCAGTTTATTTTATTGAAAAATTGCAGCGCATTTTTATACTTTACAAAAAAAAAAATATTATTTGTTTATTTTTATTTTTTCAAAATAATCTCGTGGGCCGGATTAAACCCGTTTGCGGGCCTGATCCGGCCCGTGGACCGGACGTTTGACACCCCTGTCCTAGAGCCTAATAAGGGAGATATGGACAACTAAAAGAAGGAAGAAGTGGGAGTTTTGTTTGTTTTGGCAATGTACTCTTTTTATTAAGGTGGATTGTTAGAATCACTAAGTATGGATTTAAATATTTTTATTTTTGGTTTCAAAACGTATTGCCGCCACCAACTGGACATCTTTTGGATGTAGTCCGCCATAAAACCCACAGAAGAAGAAGCAAGTCCATGCTAATTCATGGGGGTATTTTATGGCCCTAGGAAGACCTTACGTGAATTGGTGAGAGGTATCAGTAGCTTCAAGAGGCTTAATTCTGGCACGAATCACCCCCAATACACACACTCTTACCGTCCTCCCCATCGCTCACTCACTTAGCAACAGCCAGCCTGGAAGTCAAGTGCCATCACGGTCACAGTGTAACTTAGAAATAGCCCAAAAACTAGCACCCGCAACCAATACATTTTCACCCTCGACATCGTTTTCAAAGTAGCCCAATTAGCCAGAAAACTGCGAACATGGCAACACTGCACCTATCGGATAAATGTGTCAACCCCTCTCTTGCTGCCAAAACATTTTGGGGGCTAGTTTTCAGGCCTTGTTCGTTGGTTTTGAGTATTCAGAAATGTTGTAAGCGCTGGCAACCCTGGGGTACACACACTCTAGCACGTGATTCAGATCAGACGCCCTCTGCTGGTTAAAATAAGTAGGTACCTGAACCTTACTAGTGCATACTTTGAATTACAGCATTTGAAAAGCAACAAAATAACATCAGGTTCACTTCTTTCAAGTGAGAAGTAGGTACATGCAAAAATAATTCCACTATAATTTCACTTCCACCCCCTGGGTTTTGTTATGATTGTGGCGTTAGTCAGCTTAGTGTTCTGACTGTGGGTAGGTGGGGTCACACAACAAGCCAAGATGGCCGATTTTGAGGAGCCTCTATCAGAAGAAGAGAAGGTAACGATATTATGATTTTTATTCACAAGTTACTCTATTATTCAATTCGGAAGTTACTGTATGTCACCTATTATTGAATGGTCAACAGTAAATGGGTACTATATTTTAGAGCTACTAGCGTTAGCGCTGTTTCAGTAAAGAGACGATTTACTTGTGTAGCTAGCTAACTATGCTAACGTTAGCCTGAACATCACTGGCCAACTTTTACTGGCTAGAAATTGTAACTATTAGTAGTTATCTAGCTATGTGCAGGAACAAAGTTCCAGTGTGTTTAATGGAAAGCCATGATCCTACTTTTTGGATATGGTTAGATCTGTTGGGCCAATTCAGGAAGTAGCTAGCTGTTAGGCAAAATAAAACGTTGATACCATTTCCAGCAGTAGGGCAGTGCTAAGCTAGCTACCTACATCAGAGGTTTTCTAGGTCAAACAGATACAGTGGCAGCTCAAATGCTTCTGCTAGCTGTAGATGCCCTGAAGAGAGGACGTGTATACACACACCCGACACTTTTGTGTAGACCCCACAGTAGTGGTGCAAGTGCTTAACTGAAGTACAGTGCCATGACCCTGTCCAGAAACCAACAACCCTAGGGCCTAGTCCCTACCCCCAACCCTCTAGGCCTAATTTACGTTTTACTGCACCTATCCAGTGTGTGTGTGACTAAAACATATTTTTTTTGTCCACCTTGTCCTCAGAAATTTTGCCATGTAGTGACTATATCAGATCTACACAAGTGTCTAGTGGTTGTTTCTGTACAGGGAGGAAATTGGGGTATGCCCTGTGTGGAATGCAGCTCAGGTTACAGGCATGAGAATCAGTAAAGACTGGTTGTTTCCATAGAAACTGGATAAGCAGCAATCTCTTGAGGCCATGCAATTGCAGCTATTGGGTCAAAATCAGTGGCTGTAACTGACACTGGTTTCTAATGACCAGGATTTGTGTTTAATGTGTTTATAAATGAACTTAGGCTATCTAATGCAATTTTCCAGTGTGTTGTCCATTAGCCTAAAGTATCAGCTTACACCACTCTCACAATCTCCTCAAGTAGGCCTCTCTGTGAACATCATAGACAGGATACAGTCTGAATCGCTGTATGCATGGCTTACTGGGTTTAAAACCTAGAAAAGTCTTCCTAGCTCAGTGCGATTTCCCCCACTCTGCCTGATCTAATCATCAATTAAATTGATGTAGGATACTAGTAGGATACTGATTTGTCCTCTCTCCACAGGTCCGCATAGCGGCTAACTTCGTTACCCATGCACCCCCTGGAGAGTTCAACGAAGTTTTCAACGGTGAGGTTTTGTTTTCTGCTACAAAGAACAAAGAATAGCCTACAATCACATTGTTGTTTAGATGGTTCCATGTAGTTTGTGATTGTAAGGGTTTCCTGACTGAAGGTGAATGTGTGTTTTGTGTAGTTTCCTGTCTGACTAACTAGTTGTTGATGTATTGTAAGATAGTGGACCCATGACTTAGAGGGTTGCAGGAAGGCAGGCAGACAGCTTCTTCAAGTGCAAGATGTTTGTTCGCATGTGAAGAGTGCAGGGCAAAGGTAGTGCAGGAGTCCATATTTACAGGTGAATAGATCCTAAGATGTAGGATAATGACAAAATAAATAATATTTACAAAACCGAACCAAAGTTGACTTTAACAGCTAAAAAGTCTTAGCTGGCGTAACTCTTACAAGCTAAGTTTTGTGTTTACAGACTGACAAGTTGATGTTGATATATGCTTTGCGTTACAGATGTGCGGATTCTCCTCAACAATGACAACCTGCTCAGGGAGGGCGCGGCTCAGTGAGTAGCACCCTGTCACGATGTGATGTCAACATTTTGAAACAACCACATGTCATTACTTATCATTAGTCATCATTATTGGTGTATGACTCCATAAAGATCCTATGTTCTATTTAATTCTGTGCATGATTCATTATGTATTCTCTCTCCCCAGTGCTTTTGCCCAGTACAACATGGATCAGTTCACCCCTGCCAAACTTGAGGGCTATGATGAACAGGTAAGAGTGATATAAGGCTGAGTTTATCTAGAGCCGCAGTCTGATGATCACACTATATTTAATAATAATATAATATGCCATTTAGCAGACGCTTTTATCCAAAGCGGCTTACAGTCATGCGTGCATACATTATTTTTCTTTTTTTTGTGTATGGTGGTCCCGGGGATCGAACCCACTACCTTGGCGTTACAAGCGCCGTGCTCTACCAGCTGAGCTACAGAGGACAATTTTTACTGATATTATCAAATTAAGTCTGTTTAGTACAGTTTACTTGTAAACAAACCGTGTGTCAACAACAACAGTTAACAATCCTCTTCCATCTCCAGGTCCTGATTACAGAGCATGGGGATCTGGGTCAGGGGCGCTTCCTAGACCCTCGGAACCGGGTGTCGTTCCGCTTCGACCACCTAAGGAAGGAGGTGAGCGATGTGCAGCCATACGACGGAGACAGCTCACTGAGAGCTTGGAGAGAGGCCTGCGACACCGCGCTCAGCGCCTACGTTAAAGAGCACTACCCCAGCGGAGTCTGCACGGTAACCCCACCCACACACACAAATTCATAACCTTGTGCGAATACACGACCACACTCACTCAGCACATACGTCAGAGTACTACCCCAGAGTCTGTATGATACTACACACACTAGCATCAATGAACAGAAACAAAATTGTGCTGCTAACTCAGTTAACCCTGAACCTTGTGATATCGCCACTGTATGTCGTTACTTCAAGCCACTAATCTGCCTTTAGGCTAATCATGAAATCCCTATTCACTGCAGGTATATGGGAAAACAGTTGATGGCCAGCAAACCATCATTGCCTGCATTGAGGGACACCAGTTTCAACCCAAAAACTTCTGGTACAGTCCCAACTGCATCATTATACATTGGTCTTTACAAGTTCAGAATGTTATGTGACTTGAAATCTCTTTCACACATTCTTCTTCTGCATTTTCTCTATCAGGAATGGGCGCTGTAGGTCAGAGTGGAAGTTCACCATTGGTCAGTCCACTGCTCATGTAGTGGGAGTGTTGAAGATACAGGTGGGCAATCCTGATATTTACTACAGAAACAAATGCTGAAGATAATAAACACCCTAAAGTCTAATAATTAAACAGACTCTCGCTCTCCTTTCTCTAGGTGCACTACTATGAAGATGGTAATGTGCAGTTGGTCAGCCATAAGGAAGTGGAGGAGTCTATAACAGTGACTGTGAGTGGACATAACACTGATTCTATTCAGCAACAGCCAATTAGAACCCATTTTGCTTCAGTGTCTTCACTCTATCCCTTTAATGTAAACATGAGAAGGAAGCAAACTGTAAATAACAACTTCTGCCATTATGTTGTATAACCGGTATACTGAACAGGTTAGGTCAGTTCAGGTTATGGTCAATTACCTGTGGGAGAAAGGTGACTCTTTTTCTAAAATAATTTGCCAACAGAATGAGAGCCAGACTGCCAAGGAGTTTGTGGATATCATTGAGAATGCTGAAAATGATTACCAGGTAATTTACATCACCTTTTTTCAATGGACATGTGTGTTCTGTTCTTTATGGATGTACACTGCTCAAAAAATTAAAGGGAACACTTAAACAACACATCCTAGATCTGAATGAAATAATCTTATTAAATACTTTTTTTCTTTACATAGTTGAATGTGCTGACAACAAAATCACACAACAATTATCAATGGAAATCAAATTTATCAACCCATGGAGGTCTGGATTTGGAGTCACTCTCAAAATTAAAGTGGAAAACCACACTACAGGCTGATTCAACTTTGATGTAATGTCCTTAAAACAAGTCAAAATTAGGCTCAGTAGTGTGTGTGGCCTCCACGTGCCTGTATGACCTCCCTACAACGCCTGGGCATGCTCCTGATGAGGTGGCGGATGGTCTCCTGAGGGATCTCCTCCCAGACCTGGACTAAAGCATCCGCCAACTCCTGGACAGTCTGTGGTGCAACGTGGCGTTGGTGGATGGAGCGAGACATGATGTCCCAGACGTGCTCAATTGGATTCAGGTCTGGGGAACGGGCGGGCCAGTCCATAGCATCAATGCCTTCCTCTTGCAGGAACTGCTGACACACTCCAGCCACATGAGGTCTAGCATTGTCTTGCATTAGGAGGAACCCAGGGCCAACCGCACCAGTATATGGTCTCACAAGGGGTCTGAGGATCTCATCTCGGTACCTAATGGCAGTCAGGCTACCTCTGGCGAGCACATGGAGGGCTGTGCGGCCCCCCAAAGAAATGCCACCCCACACCATGACTGACCCACCGCCAAACCGGTCATGCTGGAGGATGTTGCAGGCAGCAGAACATTCTCCACAGCGTCTCCAGACTCTGTCACGTCTGTCACATGTGCTCAGTGTGAACCTGCTTTCATCTGTGAAGAGCACAGGGCGCCAGTGGCAAATTTGCCAATCTTGGTGTTCTCTGGCAAATGCCAAACGTCCTGCACGGTGTTAGGCTGTAAGCACAACCCCCACCTGTGGACGTCGGGCCCTCATACCACCCTCATGGAGTCTGTTTCTGACCGTTTGAGCAGACACATGCACATTTGTGGCCTGCTGGAGGTCATTTTGCAGGGCTCTGGCAGTGCTCCTCCTGCTCCTCCTTGCACAAAGGCGGAGGTAGCGGTCCTGCTGCTGGGTTGTTGCCCTCCTACGGCCTCCTCCACGTCTCCTGATGTACTGGCCTGTCTCCTGGTAGCGCCTCCATGCTCTGGAAACCTTCTTGCCACAGCTCGCATTGATGTGCCATCCTGGATGAGCTGCACTAACTGAGCTACTTGTGTGGGTTGTAGACTCCGTCTCATGCTACCACTAGAGTGAAAGCACCGCCAGCATTCAAAAGTGACCAAAACATCAGCCAGGAAGCATAGGAACTGAGAAGTGGTCTGTGGTCACCACCTGCAAAACCAGTCCTTTATTGGGGGTGTCTTGCTAATTGCCTATAATTTCCACCTGTTGTCTATTCCATTTGCACAACAGCATGTGACATTTATTGTCAATCAGTGTTGCTTCCTAAATGGACAGTTTGATTTCACAGAAGTGTGATTGACTTGGAGTTACATTGTGTTGTTTAAGTGTTCCCTTAATTTTTTTGAGCAGTGTATATACTTCTCTTGTAAAATCTCCTCCCCTCCCTGTAGACGGCGATCAGTGAGAACTACCAGACTATGTCTGACACCACCTTCAAGGCCCTGCGCCGCCAGCTGCCCGTCACGCGCACCAAGATCGACTGGAACAAGATCCTCAGCTACAAGATTGGCAAGGAGATGCAAAATGCATAGAGGAGCAGAGACTGACACTGCTGAGCTGGCAACACACACACGCGCACGCTCGCGCAAGGACTAACTAAAGCATATATATAGATATATATCATAGTCTGGGGCAAAGCAAAGAAAAAATAAACAAACCAAGCTGCAGATTGACAGTCTGTTGGGCACAGTTCTGTCTTGTTTAAAGAAGCTTTGGTTTAGGAGAAAAAAATGACATTAAGTGTCTGAGTTACAGGAGGGGAGTTTGAGTCTGCTAAAGGGGTGCTGAGTTTCATGTTGTAATGTTGTGACAGTCTTGAACAGCTGCACCAAGACCCCAGGTTGAATGGTTTTACAGTGCATCCTTCCTTCTGTTCTTGATGTAGGAGACACTCCTTATTCTTATCCAATCACATACAGATCAGTGATTACCTCAAGGAAGGAAGAATGCATTGTAAAATAATTTAAACATGACAATTAAGCACACCAACCAGGGGAAGTATTCCAATAATGTTAATTTCAGCACCATTTCACCTCTAAACAGTACTGACTGGTCCTCGATTATAGTAATGTTTGAGGGAACTGTTTTACTTGTTTTCTAATGTACTCTTCCACTTCCTGTTGTATGTGTCCTCTGCTTGAGCCAATGAAGGATATCATGGCTGAAAGACTGTATCATAACCACCTCTGTTTCTGAATCAATTATCTTCTGTCTTACCTTGGCAACAACACAACCATTGCTGTATCCTTTCTCCATTGATAAAGGAAAACCATACCAATATTTGTTTGCCAAAATCTCTTTCCTATGCTGAAGAACTCCATACATGCGAAGCTCCCCTTACTCCCATGGATACACGCAGATCTATATTTTGCTATGCAGGTTTTTATTTAATTGAATCTTAGGCTCAGCCCATCTGTAATATTCACACCTGTGTTTAGGTACCTAAACTATACACAGCCATTTCAGTACTTAGTGTAAACCAGGGGCTTGTTCAGGAGGGTCCAATGTTACATTTACATTTACGTCATTTAGCAGACGCTCTTATCCAGAGCGACTTACAAGTTACAAAATGTTTGAAATGTGTTTTGTAGGACAGACACACTCCTCTGTCATGCTGAATAAAGACTTGTGTGCTCTATACTGTAAATATCTCTGCAAACCGTGCTTCCCACTGAACACACCCCTGTTCATCCACAACATGCACCTACTCAATATTACCATAGGCTGACTCGAGATCAGTTATTCTGTGCTGTGTTTAACTCTCACACTGACTACCGCTGCACTCAGATCAGATGCAATGTTTAGGACTGTACTGCCCCATACTGTTGTACAAATAAAATAATTGATCATCTTGGCCTGGTTGTTGTTTTCATCAGGCATTGTATTGCTGGATCCATTACTTGTACGAAGTCGCACATAAGTCCAGCAGAAGTGGGAGCTGTCATAGACTGGTCTCTACCTCAATCTGTCTTTCCACGATTCCTTGCATCTTGCCTCCTTGCCTCCTGTCCAGCTGTATTGGAGGAGGTCCCCCCTTTTTCTCCAATGCACTTTGAGAAGGAAGTGAGGAGAGGAATCAATGTAAGACGAATAGAGAAAGAGACCGTCTTGACTTATTGACAGGAGACTGGTGGTTTTGGGGCATAACGCTAGCAGAAATCAGGCTAATAGACTGAAGAAATTGATGCTTGGTTGGGATGTTTATTTTGAAATTCAAAATCATTATATGCATAGTTCAGTTCTGAAATAATACATAAGGAAAAATGCTCGTGTACATTTAGAATAATTAGAAGACAGAAATGTTTAGAAATAGTTTGGGTTAGGGAACTTCCGGAAGACAGCAAGAGATTATTTTGAATGAGTAAAAGCTTTCTTATCGTTGTGCCCTGTTTTGTTAATATCATCTTACAAAACATACTTAAATACCACAAATATAAGACCTATGGGACCAACAAAAGTGACAAGACATTGTTAGGTTCAGGTTATGAAACACAGTAGTCATGTCATGTCATTAATGACTTCCCACTTGTTCCCATTTTGACAAAGGTGTAAAAATAGATTTAGGGTTAGGTCTACTCAGTTACAAAAAGAATGCTACAGTGGTACAGATCTGACCCCTAGCTAGTCCCCTTTATATCAACAAAATGTGAGTTTGCCAAAAGGTCTGGGAGGACTTCAAAGGTATAAAACCAGTCTGTCACTATAGGCTATAAACACAAGGATAGACGGTTCAAACTCAATTCCATGTTAACAATATTAGCCTACAAGACGCTTGTTCTGAATTTGGTCCCTTTTGGATAAAACAATAAGAAATTGTCCCTGAATAAAAAAGTTGTATATATTTAAGTGTCACCTTATTTATCTATCCCAGTGTAAGGTATGTCTTAGGGATGGCCCAGTGTAAGGTATGTCTTAGGGATGGCCCAGTGTAAGGTATGTCTTAGGGATGGCCCAGTGTAAGGTATGTCTTAGGGATGGCCCAGTGTAAGGTATGTCTTAGGGAAGGCTTTTTCCCTTGTGAAACATCCAGTGTATTCACTATTCTAGTGTATGTAGTAGACGACACGTAAATATGACCAGACATAACGGGGTGTCATGCAAAGAGCTTCAAATTATACTTTTGAATGATTTGTATTATTTACAACATTGTGCTTTAGTAATCTATGTTCTGAATGTCATCTTGTACAAACTAAAATGAAAGTCATGATAACTTTCAGTGCAGGTACTGCTAGATATGGTGATAAGCTACAGTACAGACTACTCAAGGGAAAGTCAGACGGGAGCATACATCTATATAAGTAGTGCTATGATACATCTACATGTGTAATCAACAGATGCCATTTGTGTCCTGTTGCCATGTAAAGACTTCCCTCTCCATGCAGCCTTTGTATTGCTTCATTGGACGTGGACGGAGATCTTATTTTATCTCACTCAGTTAATGTCCTAGAATAACTAAATGCATAATTAATAAGATCACTCTTTAAACATAGCTATGAAATACAAGAAACTAGGTATAAAGATATATTACAAATCAAAAGAATAAAAAACTATCCATAAATTCAAAATAAAATAATTATTATAAATCAATAAATTCCTGTATATTATAGATTTCATTTGAACTAGACAGTGTTTCAGACAGTTTGATAGGTAGTGTTTGAGCTTTCATTTGATACTAAGTGGCTAATTTATGTGGTCAAAATAGGGCCTACAGAGTTTGTATAAGTAGCGGTAGGTAGACAGTTGCAGAGCAGTTTCTGCCTGCTGGAGGACATCCAGGAGATTAAGGCCAGGATTCAATCCAGACCGCGGTGGACCCACATTAAAGCGCTTGACGTTTAAAGGTAATCAAAGATGGTGGATAATGAAGATGTCGCAAAAAGGCTGTTTACCATTGAAAAAAATTGTCAAAGTTCGTATCTGTGTAAGTGGGCGTTCCCTCTCTTGTGTGAGCATGCTTTCCCGCGAAAGCTCACACGGGAAAGCATGCCCAAAGCTCGCCCCTCCCGCCCCCACCAGAAAAAATTAGCCTGTGAGATGTCTCACTTTCTTTACCATCGCTGAGGTCATTTCCGATTGAGCTGACATCAGCAGCGTTTACCTTGAATGCGATTTCTTCTAACACAGTAACATTGTCTTTAAAAGCTGCATTGTTGACTAGAGCGCTCGTATTGAATCCCGGGCCTAAAGGTGAGTGAGCAAGTGCAAATGGGAGAGAGCAACTAGCGTATCTGGAATGAGGGAGGCCATTAGATGCTAGCTGCTGGAGGAGAGCACTGGCTCCTTGGGGAATAAGACAAAGCTGATCACAGATACTGATCCTAGGTCCGTTTTGTGTTTTCTCCCTAATGGTTGAAGATGGGAAGGATTTGGGAAGGCTATGCTAATCCTAGATCAGCTTCTAGCTGCCGTGGCCCTTAGCTGTTAACTACCAGAGGAGAGTACCAGGTCTGGCTCCTTAGCCCCCTCCTGCCCACTGCTGCTTAGCCCACAGCCCCCCGTCAGCTCTGGGAAGACGCTGGCCCTGGATTGGGGGTCGGGGGAGCCTGGAGAGGGGCTCATACCCGGTTTCTTAGGAACGGGGGGCGGGTGGCACCTCTCGGACCGAGGGGTGAGGGGCGAGCGTACACCTGGAGACAGGGGTCCTCCAGGTGAGGTTTTCCCCCCGGGAGGGGAGGCTGCCAGGCTCCGGTAGTCAGTCCCAAACGGAGAGCTGTTCAGTGGGGGGAGTTTGGCCCCTGCCTGCTGGCTAGTGAAACGGGACAGGACCTGGGTGACGGTGTTCCGGGCTAGCTGCTTGGCGGTGCTGTTCTCTGAGGGTGGAGGGATGGGGGTGGTGGTAGGGGACAGGTCTCGGGGGGAGAGGGGAGCCGTGCTACCCTGCTGGAGCTGCTCCTGCTCAGCCTGCACCTGGAACTTGTGCCTCGCGGCGTGGAAGCGCTGGTTGACTCCAGCCTGATAGGAGGACGTGTGGAAGCCACCGGGGCTGACCAGGCGCTTAGCCAGCGTGGGGGAGGAGATGGGGGAGGAGGAGAGGGAGGAGGAGGCCGTGCTGGAGGGGGAGAGGTTAGGGTAAGGGTGGGAGTGGGGGTGAGGAGGGTGAGGGTGGAGAGGGGAGTGAAGACTTGCTCCGGACTCGCTCTCTACCCCACCGTTCTCCATAGCCCCGCCCTCCTGAGGGGGGTCAGTGTCCCGCGGAGGGTTAGGGTGATGGCCGTTGACCTTTGAGACAGGGGTCAATTTAGGGGCGACGCTTGCCTTCCCATCAGGCTCTGTCTGGCACAAGGTGGACACCACCACTGCCGCTGACGCCACCGCTGACGCCACCGCTGACGCCGCCACTCTCTTTGAAGGAGGAGACTGTTTCAGCTGTTTCACCTCCTTCACCGCAGTCTCCTGCGCCTCCCTCACCATTCCTTCCTCTCCTCCTGCCTCCAACCTCCTCCTCAGCTCCTCCACCTCTCTCTCCAGCTCCTTGCTCCTCTCCTCCTCTCGTCTGATCCTGGCTCTTAACTGTTCCCTCTCCGTGTCAAACTCAGCCAGCTGGCTCTCTGCTCTGCCCTTCTCTGCCTCCAGGGCCCCCCTCAGGCTCTCTGCGGTACAGCTCTCCTCCTGGAGTTGCAGGTGGAGCTGGCTGACTCTCTGGGCCTCTTCCAAGGCCTGGCTGGTGGTTCTCTGGAGCTCCAGGGTTAGGGCAGAGGAAAGCTGCTGCTGTTGGGACAGAGTTTCCTCTGCCTGGCCTACTGCCCTCTCCTGTTCCCTCTGCAGTTTACGCACTGCTGCACGCTCCACCTCCAACTTGAAACACACAGAGAGATAGAGGTTGATATTTAAACTTTCAATTTCCCTTAGTAAAGTTTTTTGAATTCCCAGATAGGAAAGGGTTTGCTGCAGGCACACCTGTACATGTATTTCCCTTTGCTGAAAACGTATTTAATGACGGAAAATGTACTTGCTACGACTGTGATATGTGGTTGTCTCACCTAGCTATCTTAAATTGAATGCACTAATTGTAAGTCGCTCTGGATAACAGTGTCTGCTAAATCAGTGTTTCCCAACCCTGGTCCTCCAGTACCCCCAACAGCACACCGGTTTTGTTGTAGCCCTGAACAAACACACCTCATTCAGCTCATTGAGGCCTTGATGATTAGTTGACAAGTTGAATGAGGTGTGTTTGTCCAAGGTTACAATAAAAATGTGTACTGTTGGGGGTACTGGAGGACCAGGGTTGGGAAACACTGTGCTAAATGACAAAAATGTAAGGCACACGAGTGACATATTTTAGCAGTTTCCACGTCTGACCACATGGGGGTATCAGAGTCTAGGAGAGTAGAGATACATTTCCACCCCTAATGCTGCAGAGTGAGAGATATACACACAGTACTCCTGCATCCAGGGTCTGATATTCCACATTAAATATGTTACTTTATATTTCTGTATTCTTCTACTGAAAAAGTGGTATGGGTTTTAAAGAAAACGCATAACGGATCATCCCAAAACAAATGTTCTGAAAGAGCCATGTGCTGTTCAAGTGATGTTCATATTTTTTTTATCAGTATCAATCATTAGAGTGTGATATGTAAAAGTTAATGAAAAAACATCACAGTACAGTGACTCCTGTTTGGAACATTACTAGATCATACAGAAACAGAGGCAAGAAAACATCAACACACACACACACACACACACACACACACACAGGCTGAATGTGTATGCGTGTGCTGACCTTGATTGGTCAGGGACAGTCATTATCTCAGGCTTTCCTGGGCCCCAGGCTGCCGGTCAGCTGAACAATAGCCTCTTCCCCCTGTTTCCTATGGAGCCGCCCAGCCTGTGTGTGTGTTGTGTGTGTTGTGTGTGTATGTGTGTGTGTTGTGTGTGTGTCAGCCTAGACCCCTCAACCCCACTGAGATACACAATAGATCTCCAGTCAGAGAGAACTGAGGCTACTCACACAGACTTAAATCAGCTAGTAGTGTGGAGGCCATGGGGGACCCAGAAGAAGGGAGAGGAGGGAGGGAGGAGGGAGGGAGGGAGGGAGGGAGGAGGGAGGGAGGGAGGGAGGGAGGGAGGGAGGGAGAAGGAGGGAGGGGACGGGGGAGGGAGGGAGGAGGGAGAAGGAGGAGGAAGGGAGAAAGGAGGGAGGAGGGAGGGAGGGAGGAGGAGGGAGGAAGGGAAGAGGGAGGGAGGGAGGGAGGGAGGGAGGGAGGGAGGGAGGGAGGGACGGAGGAGGGGGAGGGAGGAGGAGGGAGGGAGGAGGGAGGAGGGGTAGGAGGGAGGAGGAGGGAGAAAGGAGGGAGAGAGGAGAGAGAAAGGATTGAGAGAGGAGGGAGGGAGGAGGGAGAGAGGAGGGAGGGAGGAGGGAGGGAGGAGAGTGTGTCCACAGACACAGATGTGCTTGTCTGTCAAAGAGTGGAATTCTTCGCCTGATGTTTAACAGTCCCTCCTCTTACTCTGATTTTGTCTTAGACACACACACATAGCGTGCACACACACACACACACACACACACACACACACACACACACACACACACACACACCCACACACCTGCTGCAGTAGCTTCTCCCTCTCCTTCTCCAGCATGGCGGTGACATCATCATCCTGCGCGGACTCCAGCGCGTGTCGGTGCTTCTCCTCCTCCAGATCTGCAATCACCTGCCAATCAAACAGAGGAGGACCAATCAGATCACAGATAACAAAAGTAACACAGTGGGCGGATTCGATTATGCTACGTCCCTTTGTTTTGAGCCGACTTCGCCTTGGGCTTTGAACAGGGCACCTGGCTCACGCCCGGGAGGCGGCCCATTTCCAAAACGAATGCAATCAACTTTCACCCAGTGCAAAACACGCCTACACGGGCGCCCGGGCGAGATTAATCGAACCCCCTCAATAGTTTCTAAGGCTTTGCCATCAATGTAACCCCCCCCTCTCTCTTTCTTTCTCTCTCTCTCTCTCTCTCTCTCTCTCTCTCTCTCTCTCTCTCTCTCTCTCTCTCTCTCTCTCTCTCCCTCTCAATTCAATTCAAAGGGCTTTGTTGGCCACATTGCCAAAGCAACAGAAATAGATAATAAACAAAAGTGAAATAAACAATCAGAAAATAACAGTAAACATTACACACACAAAAGTTTCAAAAGAATAAAGACATTTCAAATGTTATATTATGGCTATGTACAGTGTTGTAACAATGTGCAAATAGTTAAAGTACAAAAGGGAAAATAAATAGACAGAAAAATATAGTTTGTATTTACAATAGTGTTTGTGCTTCACTGGTTGCCCTTTTCTTGTGACAACAGGTCACAAATCGTATTGCTTTGATGCCAAATTCTTTGTGGGTCTGTGTAATCTGAGGGGAATATGTGTCGCTAATATGGTCATACATTTGGCAGGAGGTAAGGAAGTGCAGCTCAGTTTTCACCTCATGTTGTGGTCAGTGGGAACATGGCTTGTCTTCTCTTGAGAGCCAGGCTATGCTCACTGTCTGTACATAGTCAAAGCTTTCCTTAATTTTGGGTCAGTCTGCCACTGTGTACTTTCTGTTTAGGGCCAAATAGCATTCCAGTTTGCTTTGTTTTTTTGGTTAGGTCTTTCCAATGTGTCAAGTAATTATGTTTTTGTTTTTTCATGATTTAGGTTGGGTCTAATTGTGTTGCTGTCCTGGGGCTCTGTGGGGTCTCTCCCTCCCCCTCCCACCCTCCCTGCCCCCCTTACTCCTGGTAGATGGGAGTACTAGCTCTCTGTAACATACTAAGGGGGTGGGAGAGAGAGAGAGAGGAAGGAGTAGAGAAGAGAGAGACGAGAGGAGAGAGTAGAGAGAAGAGAGAGAGAGAGAGAGCAGGAGAGAGAGAGGAGAGAGAGAGAGAGAGAGAGAGAGAGAGAGAGGAGAGAGAGAAAGAGAGAGAAGAGAAGAGAGATCGAGAGAGAGAGATGAGAGAGAGAGAGAGAGAGCTCTATATAGCTAGAGAGAGAGATAATAGAGATCTATCTCGATCTCGCTCTCGCTCTCTCTCTCTTTCTCTCTCTCTCTCTATATCTCGATCTCTCTCATCTCTCTCTCGTCTCTCTCTCTCTCTCTCAGGGCTGGGTGTGGCTGCGGTATGCCTGTCCTGGTCCGGTTTGTTGAAGACTGGAGAAGAGACAACAGGCACATTGTGTCAGCCTGAGCGCCAGCACCCAACCACAGCCTCAGCCGGGAACAAAGAGTAGGGCTGGGCCGCATTTCTCCTCACAACACACACACACACACACACACACACACACCACACACACACACACACACCACACACACACACACACACACACACACACACACACACACACACACACACTGGTCTGGGAGGGAGAGGGGAGGGGTGTGTGTGTGTGTGTGTGAACACTTGGAATGTGTAAGAACGCTCTAGCTTCCTTTATTTTCTCTCAGCACCTGCCACTCGGGCATCAGTGTGTGTGTGTGTGTGTGTTTTTCCACCTTACCCTCCTGTGTCTGCTCTCTGCGGCTGCCAGCTGTCCCATCATCCTCTCCTGCATCCTCTTGCAGTGGGCCATGACCAGCTTCAACACAGCCAGAGGGTTGGGCCCCACCACGCTGCCCTGGGGGTCTGAGGGGGACCAGTCATCCATGGTTTGGCTATCCCGCTGCAGGGCCAGGAAGGGGTCACTGAGGTCATACTGGCTGTAGCGCTCCTGGACAAACGAGTCCCTGTGCTGGGCCTGGAAAACACACACACACACACACACACACACACACACACACATAGGATGAGACAGTCAGTAAGTATAGAGCAGCATATCAATTCACAGTAGACTGGACTGTGCTAACCTACCCATGTTTCACAGTGTATGTATGCAGTCTGGTTTGTATGGTTAGCATTGATATAGACCTTTACTTTGAGCAGACAGTCAGGACCAGTGCTGTATTCCCAGCAGAGCAAGGTGGCCCAGGGGTGCTCTAGGGTTAGTGGAGGCTTTAGTAGATGGAGCAGAGCAGGTGTGTGGTAAAGCCAAGGGCTATGGGGCCTCATGTATCTAGCTCTGGGCTAAAGAGGACAATAAGTTAAAATGTGAAAAGCTGACTCAGCTACATTATGACCTACTCCACCCCTTTCTGTCCCTCTGGGCTGTGTGTGTGTGTGTGTGAGTGTGTGTGTGTGTGTGTGTGTGTGTGTGTGTGTGTGTGTGTCTTTTGTGCATGTCTGAACAGGAAACACAGTGTGGAAAGGAGATAGCATGGGCCTCACTACCACTACTGCCAACAATAACCCACACGGCACCACTGTGATTTAACACACACACACACACACGCGTGTGCGTGTACAGTACATTGTTTTAAACAACTCGGACACACTGCTACAGTACACTGTTTTAACCTAACTCACACTCATTTAATGCAGGATATACTCAGACACATATTGTAACAACACATATTGTAACAGCAACTTTACAACGCTTAGGCCTGTCCCACAACACAACAATACCTCAACCATTTCAAGTGTTCTTTCAGTATGGGCAGTAACAGATGGCCCGCCCCCCCTCCCACCCCAACCCCAACACAAAAGGGGTGAGGCCGTCCATGGCCGTCCATACACCCCCGCAAGGGGCAGATGTTAACCCCTCCCTGGGGAAAGACAGGGGGTGAGGGACAGGGCAACAGAGTACTGTTACAAACACACACACAGTGCTGAACCAGCTGAAGTTTACTGCAAGACTTCTCAATCCCAAACACACCACAGTAAAAATGTATGATGGGGGGGGGGAATGTATACAGTTACATATCACAATATTATTTTAGGACGATATTATATCGATATTTGACTCCAAGTATCCATTAGTAAAAAAAATAAAAAGCACTAGTTGGCTGCGCCGAAACACCTGTATTTTTCCCCTAAAGATTGTTCTCCATCTTTAAAAAAAATAGTGAGCCAACATGTTTTCAGCATTTTTATTTCCATGACCAATCAAAACTCGTTTTCTCATGCTCTCTTGTCTCTCTGCAGCAGACATACAGTGAGCAATTTGTTTGGAACATCAAATTGCAATATCGAATCGCAATACATATAGAATCGTGACAATTGCAATACATATTGTATCGGCAGCTAAGTATTGTGATAACATCGTATCGTGAGGTCCCTGGCAATTCTCAGCCCTAGTAGAAATGGGACCATACAATTGATTATCTACTAATCTCCCATCAGCTGTTCTCTTTGAGCTAGGGTTGCGAAATTTCCCAGATTTTCCAGAAATCCTGGTTGAAGGATTCCGGATTTCCTGCTTATTCCCTCCCGTTTCCAGGAAAACCTGGGAATTTTGGGAAAGTTATGAGCTGATCCTAGACCTGTGCTTAGTCTACAGTCTTCTGCCCTGCGGACCGGAGAGAGCGATATCAGAGAGTGGCAGTGCATTCCTCTCCTGGTACATCACCATTTCACAGTGATCTCTCTCTCTCTCTCTCTCTCTCTCTCTCTCTCTCTCTCTAATTCAAAGGGGCTTTATTGGCATGGGAAACATATGTTTACATTGCCAAAGCAAATGAAATAAACAATAAACAAAAGTGAGAACAAACAAATTTAACAACATCAACTAAAAATGATTAGAAATTAACAGTAAACATTGCACTCAAAAAGGTTTCAGAAAGATAAATACATTTCAAGTGTTATATTATCAGCTATGTACGTGCAAATAGTTGTAGTACGAATAGTGGGGGAAGATACATAAACAGATAAATATTGGAGGTATTTACAATGTTGTTTGTTCTTCACTGGTTGCCCTTTTCTCATGGCAACGGGTCACAAATCTTGCTGCCCGGATTGCACACTGTGGTATTTCGCCTAACAGATATGGGAGTTTACCAATGTTGGATTTATTTTCAAATTATTTGTGGGTCTGTGTGATCTGTGGGAAATACGTGTCTCTAATGTGGTCATACATTTGGCAGGAGGTTAGGAAGTGTAGCTCAGTTTCCATCTCATTTTGTGGACAGTGTGCACATATCCTGTCTTCTCTCGAGAGCCAGGTCTGCCTATGGCGAGAGTCAATGTGCAGGGGCACCGGTTAGTTGAGGTAATTGAGGTAATATGCCTTGCAAAAGAATTCATCCCCCTTGGCGTTTTTCCTTTTTTGTTGCATTACAACCTGTAATTTAAATTGATTTTTATTTGGATTTCATGTCATGGACATACACAAAACAGTCCAAAAAGGTGAATTACTTGTTTCATAATATTCAAAAAAATAAATAACGGAAAAGTGGTGCGTGCATTCGTATTCACCCCCTTTTCTATGAAGCCCCTAAATAAGATCTGGTGCAACCAATTACCTTCAGAAGTCACATAATTAGTTAAATAAAGTCCACCTGTGTGCAATCTAAGTGTCACATGATCTGTCACATGATCTCAGTATATAGACACCTGTTCTGAACGGCCTCAGAGTCTGCAACACCACTAAGCAAGGGGCACCACCAAGCAAGCGGCACCATGAAGACCAAGGAGCTCTCCAAACAGGTCAGGGACAAAGTTGTGGAGAAGTACAGATAAGGGTTGGGTTATAAAAAAATATCCGAAACTTTCAACATCCCACGGAGCACCATTAAACCCATTATTAAAAAATTGAAAGAATATGGCACCACAACAAACCTGCCAAGAGAGGGCCGCCCACCAAAACTCACGACCAGGCAAGGAGGGCATTCATCAGAGAGGCAACAAAGACACCAAAGATACACTGAAGGAGCTGCAAAGCTCCACAGCGGAGATTGGAGTATCTGTCCACAGGACCACTTTAAGCCGTACACTCCACAGAGCTGGGCTTTACGGAAGAGTGGCCAGAAAAAAGCCATTGCTTGAAGAAAAAAATAAGCAAACACGTTTGGTGTTCACCAAAAAGCATGTGGGAGACTCCCCAAACATATGGAAGAAGGTACTCTGGTCAGATTAGACTAAAATGAGCTTTTTGACCATGAAGGAAAACGCTATGTCTGGCGCAAACCCAACACCTCTCATCACCCCGAGAACACCATCCCCACAGTGAAGCATGGTGGTGTCAGCATCATGCTGTGGGGATGGTTTTCATTGGCAGGGACTGGGAAACTGGTCAGAATTGAAGGAATGATTGATGGCGCTAAATACAGGGAAATTCTTGAGGGAAACCTGTTTCAGTCTTCCAGAGATTTGAGACTGGGACGGAGGTTCACCTTCCAGAATCTGTGGTATGACTTAAAGATTGCTGTACACCAGCGGAACCCATCCAACTTGAAGGAGCTGGAGCAGTTTTGCCTTGAAGATTGGGCAAAAATCCCAGTGGCTAGATGTACCAAGCTTATAGAGACATACCCCAAGAGACTTGCAGCTGTAATTGCTGCAAAAGGTGGCTCTACAAAGTATTGACTTTGTGAATAGTTATGCACGCTCATGTTTTCTGTTTTATTTCTTGTTTTGTTTCACAAAAAAAATTATTTTGCATCTTCAAAGTGGTAGGCATGTTGGGTAAATCAAATGATACAAACCCCCCAAAAATCCATTTTAATTCCAGGGTGTAAGGCAACAAAATAGGAAAAATGTCAAGGGGGTGAATACTTTTGCAAGCCACTGTACATGTAGGTAGTTAAAGTGACTATGCATAGATAATAAACAGAGCGTAGCAGCAGCGTAAAAGAGGGGGTGGCGTCTAATTGTGTTGCTGTCCTGGAGCTCTGTGGGGTCTGTTTGTGTTTGTGAACAGAGCCCCAGGACCAGCTTGCTTAGGGGACTTTTCTCTAGGTTAATCTCTCTGTAGATGATGGCTTTGTTATGGAAGCTTTGGGAATCGCTTCATTTTAGGTGGTTGTAGGATTTTTACATCTAGCAGATATAGTCCTAATTCTGCTCTGCATGCATTGTTTGGGATTTTGTGTTGTACACAAATAATATTTTTGCTGAATTCTGCATGCAGTCTCTCAATTGGGTGTTTGTCCCATTTTGTGAATTATTGGTTGGTTAGTGGACCCCATACCTCACAACCATACAGGGAAATGGGTTCTATACAGTGGGGAAAAAAGTATTTAGTCAGCCACCAATTGTGCAAGTTCTCCCACTTAAAAAGATGAGAGAGGCCTGTAATTTTCATCATAGGTACACGTCAACTATGACAGACAAATTGAGAAAAGAAAATCCAGAAAATCACATTGTAGGATTTTTAATGAATTTATTTGCAAATAATGGTGGAAAATAAGTATTTGGTCACCTACAAACAAGCAAGATTTCTGGCTCTCACAGACCTGTAACTTCTTCTTTAAGAGGCTCCTCTGTCCTCCACTCGTTACCTGTATTAATGGCACCTGTTTGAACTTGTTATCAGTATAAAAGACACCTGTCCACAACCTCAAACAGTCACACTCCAAACTCCACTATGGTCAAGACCAAAGAGCTGTCAAAGGACACCAGAAACAAAATGGTAGACCTGCACCAGGCTGGGAAGACTGAATCTGCAATAGGTAAGCAGCTTGGTTTGAAGAAATCAACTGTGGGAGCAATTATTAGGAAATGGAAGACATACAAGACCACTGATAATCTCCCTCGATCTGGGGCTCCACGCAAGATCTCACCCCGTGGGGTCAAAATGATCACAAGAACGGTGAGCAAAAATCCCAGAACCACACGGGGGGACCTAGTGAATGACCTGCAGAGAGCTGGGACCAAAGTAACAAAGTCTACCATCAGTAACACACTACTCCGCCAGGGACTCAAATCCTGCATTGCCAGACGTGTCCCCCTGCTTAAGCCAGTACATGTCCAGGCCCGTCTGAAGTTTGCTAGAGTGCATTTGGATGATCCAGAAGAGGATTGGGAGAATGTCATATGGTCAGATGAAACCAAAATATAACTTTTTGGTAAACTCAACTCATCGTGTTTGGAGGACAAAGAATGCTGAGTTGCATCCAAAGAACACCATACCTACTGTGAAGCATGGGGGTGGAAACTTCATGCTTTGGGGCTGTTTTTCTGCAAAGGGACCAGGACGACTGATCCGTGTAAAGGAAAGAATGAATGGGGCCATG